GTAGTGGGTGAAGGTGTGTGTATATATCCCATAACTTGTGTGTGTGTTGCCGACGATAGATGATAACTTGGAGTAGATTGATTAATTAACGCCTAAAGCGTTTTGAACCAATTCTAACAACTAGTGTGTGAGGTGTCCCGACACGAGAGTGGCCCACGTCCAGCTGTGGACTTTTAGTGGCTGTTAAAAAAAATTTCTGTTATTTATAATATTATTTCATTATTTTTATTTCTTCGAATTTTACTTTTACTTTTTATTAAAAGTAGTTACGGTTACCATTTACCGTTACAATCTAATAAAAGTCCACTGCTGAAGATGAATCTCTGCCACAGATTGCCTCACAGGGAAAATTTGCCATAGTTGCCACAGATGGCAGGCGGGTTGACGAACGCCGTTTTCAATTTACTTGTTATTTAAGAAGTCGCTGCTGTTCATCTGCTGGCTTATTTATAAAGAGTTTTCACTTCAACATAATAAAAAAATAATGTGACCGGCCGCTGTATAAAACTTTAAAAAGAAAGATAATGCATGGTAACTTACTTTACATAAATAAAAATAATAAACATCATTTTTGTTTGATAAAAAGGTTTGATAAACTCATACACAAGCAATTAAGTTAACTAAACATAAATCTAAAATACATTTATGTAAAGAATGTTTTTTTTTATATTTTAGCACTGCAGAAAAACTTTTAAATCAATGATTGTGCGAGGATCCAAACCATTATACCAGAAGAAAATACTAAACTTTATTTTTCAAACTATGAAAAGACTCAAAGAATTCCTATTGTAAGTTGTAACATACGGCGACTTTGAGATCTTATTACATTACATAGACTTGATTCAGCAGTTAGTAATACCAACTACTGAATCAAGTCTATGTATGTAATGTAAGGGTAAGGGTAAAGACGGCTGCATGGATAAGTAGTAATACTTATCCATACAGCCTTTTTTTTATATAGGATAGGGTGACAAACGAGCACACAGTCCACCTGATGGTAAGTGGTTGCTGCGGCCCATAGACATTTACATCTATCTTCCATTACAAATCAAAATAAATGCAGATGCGTTGTCACCCGTGAGGACTGAGATGGAATGCCTCATTTCCAGTAAAAAGGGTCTCCGGTTCTCTACACTCACCATACGAAATACAGCAGCATTAAGCTACTATTTCACGCTGGTATTCTGTGAGAGCGTGGTCCTTCCCCGGTCGAGCCGACCCATTCGTGCTACAACTATACTACTAATATAATTGCAGCATGGCTCTACCACGTAAAACTATTATATTCCTTCACTAAAACTATTATATTTATATATTACTACTATATTAGAATAATAATAATAATACGATATAAAGTAAACAGGCTTGGCCCAAGAATTATTAGGTTATGGCGACCGTAAAAATACAATTCCGCTTTATTGTTGCGACGGACTATTGAAATATAACTGTTTTAATCATGAATATAACCTATAGAATAGCATAAAAATTTAAAAAAATCCTTTTTTAATCTTAATTTTATTTTTTTCGGAATTATAATTAAATTTTGTGCGACTTCGTAGTGTTTTAAATTTAAAATGGCGTTTCATTTTTTTACACATGGAGTGTCGTAGTCTAGTATAATGACTATACGGCATTACATAATTACAAAATGACGCTTGTTTGAAGTGCATTTTAACGAAGGTAAGACTTTTTTTATAATAATTATCTTGTTTTACAATTTGTTATTGTTTCATAATTTTTAAAACATTTATGGCTAGTAATTCATTTAATTTAATCCATAAAATTGACAGGAATATCCAAAGGCTTTCCTACTATATACTGCTGGCCCATAGCATATTTTTAATAACTAAAGGCAAGGTTAAAGCTTATTTTCTCAGAGGAAAACATAGGTATTCATAAGCACATGGTAGCTATTTTTTGAATAAAAAACTATCACATCAAAAAGTTTCTTGTTGTGAAGGCGTTTTACATACGTACTTAAATTTCGGATCGATAAAACATCCTGGATGGATAGTTGTTTCGAACTCCAAAACTCTTTTCTGCGTTACCGAGCCCTCAATTACCCTCGACGAAAGACAAAATTACAGAGGTACAAAAATAATAAGACCTTGGATAACAAAATCCGTATCTGTTTTTGTCTATTAATTATGAGAATACTAATTCTTTTATTCATAATAATTATTTATTCATCTATTAAAACGTTTGTTAAACATTTAAAGGAATGAATTAGTCTTTAAAATATATATTATACGCTATTCCAAACCTCTCACTAATCAGCGAGCTACGGAAATAATAGCACGGGGTTTCTCTGCGTGATAAACTTAGAAATGAGGATATCGGCAGTAGAATCAGAGTGACCGATATAGCCCAACGGATTAGTAACCTGAAGTGGCAATGGACCGGCCTTATAGCTCGAAGAACCGATAACCGATAGGGAAGAAATGTTCCCGATTGGAAGCCTCGTACCGGTAGGCGAAGTGTACTAGATGGAGCGGGGACATGGTAAGACATGCAGGAAGTCGAATGATGCGGTTGGGTCAGAACCGTGCTTTATGGGATTCCTTGGGGGAGGCCTATGTTCAGCAGTGGACTTGTGATGGACTGTAATGATGATGATGATTCCAAACTACTGAGTTCAGGGTTCTAAATTTAAATTAGCCTAAGTAAATATTTATAAATTAGAATCGGGTATACAAGTAGCCCATGGACTCTAATCAGCTCCTTCACCTACATAAAGTACTTGGTCTGTCTACTACGAAATAAAGAGCTTATTACCAATAGGAGGGACCCTAGCAGCGCAGGTGCTAAGCACTCGCTGTCAATTTTCGATTACCCAAACTTGCCATGTGCTCGGCGGTGAAGGAAACCTGCATGCTGTGGAAGAAAAATATTTAGAGGATGAGGATTAGTAGGATACTTATTTATTAGTATAAATAATAACAGTGTATCATAAATATGTCCCGCTAATGTTTTTGTGCTCCTGAAAAAGTTTTGGAAAACTTTTGTCTGAGAAAGTTTTGGATACTTTTCAGCGTAAAATAGTAGCTTAATGTTGCTCTGTATCGTATGGTGAGTGTAGAGAACCGTAGACCATTTTTACTGGAAACGAGGCATTCCATCTTAGTCCTCACGGGTGAGAACGCGTCTGCATTTTGATTCATAATCGAGGATAGATGTAGATGTCTATGGGCCGTAGCAACCACTTACCATCAGGTGAACTGTGTGCTCGTTTGTCACCCTATCCTATATAAAAAACCTAGCGTCTTGCTTATTGGCAGACATCGACATATCCTCTAAATATTTTACTTACACTGAATGCAGGTTTCATTTACCGCCGAAAAAATGTAGCAGTTTAGGAGTCCATCGCCGACAACCAACGTGACCCGTAATTTATATATATATATATATATATATATATAAAAATATATATATATATAGACTAGGAGATTTATAGAAAAAAAAATAGGTGTGGTTATTTATTATTTAATAAGAGTTTGTCGGCTCAACCGTGGTAGCTCAGATGGTTAACGCTCGCTGTAAATATAACAGAACGCGAGTAACTCGGATTCGATCCCCGCGGGCACCAATGAAATTGTTAATTACAATATTAAGTGCTAGTTTACCACTTCTACGCGGTGAAGGAAAACATCGTGAGGAAACCTGCATGTCTGAGGAATAAGGAAAAAAAATATGTCGAAGACATGTGAAGTTCGCCAACACGCATTGGGGCAGCGCGGTGGACAATTCCTTGTCCTAAAACCCTCTCAGAAATGAGTGGAGGCCTGTGCCCAGCAGTGGGACGTTTATAGGCTGTAACTTTACTTTTACTTTACTATTAAAGTGCACTGGTGAAAATGGAGGCCTCCCCCACAGGTTGGCTCAAATGGAGGATTTTTATTTTGGTAGCCACGCTTGGCAATCGGGTTGGCAACCGTAGTTTTTTATTTTAGTCGTTATTAGGAAGGCGCTGCTGCCTATCTTTTGATCTGATTCCGTCTGCCGCCTCTTACAATACCCACGGGATGATATGCCGTAGTAGTTATTCTTACACCGCCACTGCACGGTAAGAAGATTCATGATTTTTTTATTAATTATTATTTAATATTTAATTCAAGAAAATAATATATTATTAAATCCAATATAAGTATATTTATTCAATAGTGATCAACTTATGTTTGAGCAATATATAAAATAAAAATTTATAGAACGAAATTATAACCACCTTTATAATATAATAGCATTGTTAAGGGGAAATATAATCTCAAATGGCTTAGCTTAAAATATTGCAGCATTAATTTTGAAATAAATATATGGTAAAGTTGAGGATTAATGTTAAGGATTATGTTAGACGAAAACACGATTCCGTAAAATTTTCTCGATAGAAAAAAAAATCCAAAGTTACCTCCAAAATAGACATGAACTAACAATGAACTAACTATAAAGCAGTGCTTATGTTATTTACTTTTTTTAAATACCATTATTTTCACTGCAAAAAGAAATTACCTAAACTATCGGCCTCTTGAAGCGTGATTCCTGCCGCCCGGTCACTTCGCTTCGGCCTTTGAAGGGGGAGGTTGTGTCGCTTACGATCAGAATACACATTACGCAACAGGACGACGTAAAATTAAAATGGGAAATAACCGTAATAAAAATAAGAAGCGACAGGCTTGGCGTTAAGAAACAGGCATAAATATGATAAACCTAATGAAATAAGTGTCCAACGACCTTTCTACTTACAGTATTAGTGATTACAAACATGTCGGTACATAGCATACAATGCGCGGGCAAGTGGGGACGAAATTAGAATTTGAGTTGACTTACTATATCCCCTTAAGTGCTCATACGTTATCGATTCACGTCACTAGAATTAATTGGTACGTTATGGATAGGACGTATGATTCAAACGCTTGAGTCACCTAAAACGCAGCTTTAAAAGCAACGGCTAAAGGCACGGACTTATCACAACAGTCCGGACTCTCGCCGTGAGTAGACAATACAAGATGGCCACGAAAATCATCATTGTACTCTTCGCCAGCGTAATCCTTGTCGCCGCGCAAGAAGACTGCACATGTGAGGACGAGAAAACTCTGAACGAAGCAACCGACATCTTCAAGTTCCTTAATGTACTATCAGCTGATCCAGAAAACGACAAATATCCCATATTACCAGCGCTCCTGTCGCCTTTAGTGCCATGCGGGAATTGTATAGAGAACAGTCGGAAGAAACGCAAAATATTCCCCGAGCCGGCTGAAAATAACAGTGAAATTAAAAAAGAAGAAGACGAAAACAATATGGCGGATGAAGACAGTGATGAGACGCATCCTTTCCCTGCACACGCGGGTATCAGAAACAAATGTCCTCTTGGTTTCGTGAGGATAGGATTCATGTGTCTTAGTGCTGATTTATTGTAGTTTTAAAGTGTTAAATTCAAGACCGAAGATCGAAAACCAGTGCGCCAAAATATGTTTGTATTCTGGTAACGTTTCGAACCTTAAAAAAATTTCATGAAAGATTTTTTCATTCTTTTTTTTATTTAATACTTTCTATTAACTATATGTCTTTACTTGTCTCTCTATATTAAAGAAATAATTGCATTTATAGAATTAATTTTTTAATGATTTTTATACAATACGAAAATATTTTTAGAAGACTGTTTTAAAATTTGACAAAGATAATGTAAATTAAGTTACCGGATAGTTACCTTATTTAAGTCGACATTATAGACTTCTAATTAGTGTAATAATATTATCAAATTGTAAATATATATAAAATTAGCAAGTAATGTCATGAGCTTTAATTAGGCTAAGCTAATAAATAGTTATTTTTAGTTAATGCATTTTTATTACTACTAACTCAAAATATTTTAATAATTTTTGATAAAATACTAAAATCCATTAACAGTATAAATATACGTTTATATTCGTAACTATTATTTAATTTTAAATTTATTTATATAGAGATTTTTCAACTACATGCCACAGTTATTAGTTAAATATATGTGAATGCTATCTATTTGAGATTAGTAATAAAAAAAAATTAAAACTTTACCTCCACACTAGGATTTTCTCCTGTATCGTGGGGGTAGTTTACATACATAGATTTCACAAGGACAAACATCCCTGTTACATATTACATGCTTGTTCCGTGCGGGATTCGAACCCGCGGCCCTTAGCGCTGTAACTCATTGCTAAACCACTGCGCCACGGAGCCGTCCTGATGAGTTGCATCAAACTCATGCTCAGTTTAGACCAGATCATAGTTTCAATAAAAATTTTATAGAACAAAATATACACCATATATAGGTCATGCTAACAGGTACAGTGAAATTGTACTTTAAAATTTAACAATACTCTTTGAGATACTACAATAAAGTAAATGTTAGTTACTATCAAGGATATCATGTACAAATTGAAAGAAAAAAATTTAATCATAAACAAACAAACATAACTGCAATAGGGTCAAATTATCTTAACCTACATAAAATAACTATTATTAGCCGACTTCGAAAACGGAGGTTCACAATTAGACTGTATGTTTTTTTTTTACACAATTGAGACTCAATGTTTAGGATTCCTTTTCATTTTATTAATTTATTTAACTTCATATAACCGCATATATACACTGAAATGTATATAGGCGGACTTAATGGCCCCAGGCATTATCTACTGGTCTACCTTAGAGTAGTACAGAGACAAAAGAGGCAGGTGTAAAAAGAATACAAATCTATATATATATATATCTCCTGTCGCTCCGCAGGAACCAAGCTTTACGAGCGCCGATAGTTTGGGTAATTTCTTTTTACAGTGAAAATAATGATATTTTAAAAAAAGTAAATAACATAAGCACTGCTTTATGGTTAGCTTCAGTTAGTATGCAAAGTTTCATGATCTTATTTAAAGTATTTTATGAATAACAGCGGTTTATATGTTCAGTTTGGAGGTAACTTCATGGGATTTTTTTTTCTAATCGAGAAAATTTTACGGAATCGTGTTTTCGTCTAACATAAACCTTAACATTAATCCTCAACTATTACCATATATTTATTTCAAAATTGAATGCTGCAATACTTTCGGCATAACGGAGGAATCCTTGCTAAGCCAATTTGAGTTTATAATAAATTTACCCTCTTAAGAACTTTTTTTTAGGTGAACCTATTTTGATGATTCTTTATTTATTAGAAAGCTATTGCATTTCGTGTTCCATATAAATTTGATCAAGATCGGACCAGTAGTTTTTATTGTTAATAATGCTTATTTAATTCACTTCGGATGTTCTCATTTTATTCATATTGAAGTCGGTTGTACAAATTTTTAATTTTACCAGTTTTAAATCTTTATCACATCAGGTTATGGTGAAATTATTGCACCATCTATCTGATATGATAAAAAAATTTTTGGTTGTCCCTCTGACAACCTACAATACAGCCACGTGTTACGTGAGGTGAAAGGTTCATCAATTCATTAATTATTAATTGCTTAAACAACAATATAGAATTCCCACAAAAAGTACAACTGATAAAACTATAGGTAAAACCAGATTTTCCTCAATAACCAGTACCTAGCAAAGTTGCAACAGCATAGTTTGTTCAAATATTTACATATTTTGATAGAAGAGTGATTTTACGCAAGTAAATTTTATGCGGAGCTGTGGTAGATCAGATGGTTAGCGCTCACTGTAAAGTCACATTACGCGAGCAACCCGGGTTCGATCTCCGCCGGCACCAATGAAATTGTTAATTGCAATTTTAAGTGCTGATTTACCACGTGCTCGGTGGTGAAGGAAAACATCGTGAGGAAACCTGCATGCCTGAGAAATAAAATAAAATATTGCGAACACATGTGAAGTTTGCCAACACGCATTGGGGCAGCGCGGAGGACACTTCCTTACCCCAAAAACCCTCTCAGAAATGAGAAGAGGCCTGTGCCCAGCAGTGGAACGTGTATAGGCTGTTACTTTAACTTTAACTATTAAATTTTATAAATTCGAATTTCGGTCACGGCAGTCAGTCTCAACGGAGACTGGCCGTCGGCGCGGGACAGGATTATAGTGCCCGAGTGAATGCGCTGTTTTTGGTCCGCCCCGGGCTTCGAACTCATTCCCACCATGATCCCATGATCAGCAATTCCGTTTACGAGCACTAGTAGTCCAACATAAATGCCTGGTTTCCAGTGTAAGAGGGTCTTCGGATCTTTACACTTACCATGTGAAACACAGCAGCATTAAGCAACCATTTTACGCTGGTATTTTGAGAGAGCGTGATCCTTCCCCAATTGTGCCGACCCATTCGTAGTACTATAATATAGCTGCAGTGTCGCTCTACCATATATAAAATAGTCCAGAGACATTCAGTTTTCCTCACGATATTTCCTTCACCGTTAAACACTTAAAATTAAATCTAACAATTTCGATAATCAGATGCAGATCTAAGCCAAATTTTTAAATTCACAGCAAGCACACTACCGCGGTTTAAGTAAAAATATATTAGGGAATGTTAAAAAAAATCATAAGCAAATATCATAAAGTCAATATTTTTGTATAACAAAAATATAAATAAATGACACGCATAGATAGGCGTTAAGGCCGCCTTTGTATATTTTTGTGCAACGAAGTTTCAATAAAATAAAAAAAATTCTGTACGTGGTAGAGCAATGCTGCAATTATATTAGAAGTATAGTTGTAACACGAATGGGTCGGCTCGACCGGGGAATGACCACGCTCTCACAGAATACCAACGTATAATAGCAGCTTGATGCTGCTGTGTTTCGTATGGTGAGTGTAGAGAACCGGAGACCCTTTTTACTGGAAACGAGGTATTTCTTCTTAGTAAACCTCACGGGTGAAAACGCATCTACATTTTGATTCGTAATCGAGGATAGACGTAGATGTCTATGGGCCACAGCATCCACTTACCATCAGGTGGACTGTGTGCTCGTTTGTCACCTTATCCTATAAAAAATAGATTTTTAAATTGTGTAACTTACTAAAAAAACAGATATAAACACGCATACGAGCACACCAGACAGGGAATTAATGGCGCGTGACGTGTTGTTTAAAATCCTGGAGCGACGCGGGAAAATCAGGACACGTCATGCCACATCTGAGTCATTGTGATATAATTATCTATTATTCTGGCGCTTATAACTCTCTTGAAACTATACTTATAGTCTAATATTTTGAAGATCATATATACAGGGTAATTTTGAAATAACCGGCCAAATTTGCAGGGAAGGTTTAAAATAAGTAACATAGGCAAATGGTGAATAAAAATTAATTTAAAAAAATCTCCAACGTTCTGTCCTTTTTATCTTTTAAATTCAAAATGCGAGGTAATGTTTTATTTTAACTGATTTCACTGCACACACACATTCTTAAAGATCGATCGGTAGACAAAATCCTTATTTACTCGTATTTACAAAAACTGCAATAATGGTATATCGTTACTTAAATCTATATTTGATATGAAGTTTAAATTTGGCTACTCTTTGATAAGTAATCCCGTATAATAAGACAGACGCCCTAAAAGTACGCTCTCATATAAAGCTGGCACAAAATAGCAGCATCATTTTTTTTTTGGAAAACTTACATCAATTGCTTATTTTTAAATAAAAAGTATAATAATGTAAATATTAAGCCATATACAAGTTTCCACTTTCAGAATTAATTATAAAAGGAATAAACAAAACCCAGATGGAAAAAAATCAACTAAGGTATCTGAGAATACCTATTAAAACCAGAACTGAAAACCAAAACTAAGAGGAGGACAGAGTCAAAAAGTTTTGGCACTATTTAAAAACACTTCGGAAAATCAACTTAAAAGATTACTCTACTACTACACTACACAATACTAAAATTGATTAAAATATTTGCTTTAAAGGTTCTCGAGTGGCAGCCTCGTACCGGTAGGGGTAGTGTAGGGCGACCCCCCACTAGATGGAGTGACGACCTGGTAAGACATGCAGGAAGTCGATGGATGCAGGTGGCTCAGGACCGTGCTTTGTGGCGTTACTTGGGGAGGCCTATGTTCAGCAGTGGACTTGTGAAGGGCTGTAATGATGATGATGATGATGATTTGCTTTAATGTCGACTGTCAAAATGGCGTCGATGAAGTAGCGCCCTTTTGACGTTTTATTATTTGATTGACTTATGAACAGTAGAAATCTACCACCACCGCTAACCCTCAGAGGCCAGGAGATCGCATGGACAGGACATCGAGACACAGAGACATCGGATCGGCAGGATGTTGCGCCCACGCAGAAGACAACACGACGCTATGAACAGTCATCGTATCACAGAGCATCCATGCGAATTGTACTGTTTTTTTTTTTATATAGAGGAGGGGGCAAACGAGCATGCGGCTCACCGGAAGTGACTACCGCCGCCCATGATCAACCGCAACACCAGGGGAATTGCA